GATCAACGACAGATAATTAGTGACAGATAATCAACAACAGATAATCAGTTACAAATAATCAATGACAGATAATTAGTGACAAATAATTACTGACAGATAATTAGTGACATATAATCACTGACAGATAATTATTGCCAGATAATCAGTGACACGTAATTAATGACAGATGATTAGTGACAGATAATCAATAACAGATAATTAGTAACAAATAATCAGTGACAAGCAATCAACGACAGATAAGTAGTGACAGATAATCAATAACAGATAACAGTGACAAATAACCAATGAAAGATAATTAGTGACAGATAATCAACGACAGACAGTCACTGACAAGTAATCAATGACAGATAATTAGTGACTGATAATTAACGACAGATAATCAGTGACAAGTAATCAATGACAGATAATTAGTGACTGATAATCAACGACAGATAATCAAACTGATTAGTTTCACTAATTATCTGTTATTGATTATCGGTCATTGATTACTTGTCACGACAAGTAATCAATGACAGATAAGTAGTGACAGATAATCAACGACAGATAATTAGTAACAGATCATCAACGACAGATAGTCACTGACAAGTAATCAATAACAGATAATTAGTGACAAATAATCAGTGACAAGTAACCAATGAAAGATAATTAGTGACAGATAATCAACGACAGATAGCCCCTGACAAGTAATCAATGTCAGATAATTAGTGACTGATAATCAACGACAGATAATCAGTGACAAGTAATCAATGACAGATAATCAATAACAGATAATTAGTGACAGATAATCAGTGAAAAGTAATCAATGACAGATAATTAGTGATAATCAATAACAGATAATCAGTGACAAGTAATCAATGACAAATAATCAGTGAAAGATAATTAGTGACAAATAATCAGTGACAAGTAATCAATGACAGATAATTAGTGATAATCAATAATAGATAATTAGTGATAATCAATAATAGATAATTAGTGATAATCAATAATAGATAATTAGTGATAATCAATAATAGATAATTAGTGACAGATAATCAATGAAAGATAATTAGTGACAGATAATCAATGACAGATAATCAGTGACAAGTAATCAATGACAGATAATCAGTGACAAGTAATCAATGACAGATAATCAATAACAGATAAGTAGTGACAGATAATCAGTGACAAGTAATCAATGACAGATAATTAGTGACAAGTAATCAATGACAAATAATCAATGAAAGATAATTAGTGACAAATAATCAGTGACAAGTAATCAATGACAGATAATTAGTGATAATCAATAATAGATAATTAGTGACAAATAATCAATGAAAGATAATTAGTGACAGATAATCAATGAAAGATAATTAGTGACAGATAATCAATGAGTCTTCCAAACTGAGAAGAGAATAAATATAAATTTCTCACATTATTATTTTTTTCACTTCAGTCAAAAGTTTTTACTATAATTAAAATAAACATCCGTGTGAAAAGTTTAACAGTCTTCGTTAGTTCTGCCACCCACCCCCTCTCCCTGTGACACAGCGGTACGTCTTTGAAATTATAACGCTAAAATCCGGGGTGGGCACAGCACAGACAGCTCGTTGTGTAGCTTTGTTTTTGATAGCAACAAAACTAAACCGCTTTAAAAGAATGTTTTTGTGAGAAGTTTTACTGTCTTCGTTAATATCAAAACGTTAAAGATGGCAGCTTATTTTTAAAACCTCTTAAGTGAATAATAGATAAAGTGTACTTTAGTGATGTGTAGATATAGTGTACTTTATTGATGTGTAGATATAGTGTACTTTAGTGATGTGTGGATATAGTGTACTTTATAGATGTGCATATATAGTGTACTTTATTGATGTGTAGATATAATGTACTTTATTGATTTGTAGATATAGTGTACTTTATTGATGTGTAGATATAGTGTATTTTATTGATGTGTAGATATAATGTACTTTATTGATGTGCATATACAGTGTACTTTATTGATATGTAGATATGGTGTACTTTATTGATGTGTAGATATAGTGTAATTTATTGATGTGTAGCTATAGTGTACTTTATTGTTGTGTAGATATAGCGTACTTTATTGGTGTGTAGATACAGTGTACTTCATTGATGTGTAGATGTAGCGTACTTTACTGATTTGTAAACATAGCGTAGTTTATTGAGCTAATAAAAACATATATTGCAACGTATGTCTCCTAAGTTGTTAAATGACTAGCAACAAACTTGGAATTTCGGCAACATGGTATCGTCAGGAAATATTCGTAACAAAGACTTCAGTCAAAAATATCACCAGCTAAAATTGATCATAAACTTTAGGACAAATTGTTTGTCACAAGATTTAGTGGAAATTAAACCTTGGGTAATCATGATTTCTACCATTTCGATATTGTTGTTCATAGTAGTATGTGTTTTACACGTTGGAGATCTTTATTCTACGTTACACCACGTATGAGGTATGGTCTGACAGGTTTACTTGCTGTAGGTATCACTATATTATCGAATAGGTAATACATGCTTTGGCGACATAAGTCTGACAAAATATATTTCATGAACAAACAAACAAAACTATACAATAGTTGATGAAGAAAGGCCTACCTTTCGAAAGCGCTCGTGCCATAAGGATTCTTGTTTTTATAACACTTTATAGTAACCAGTAAACGTGGCCAAATCACTAAAGAAACTTGTATTTCTGCAGAAACTTACATCAATAGCATCCATCCACTGTCGAACATTTAAAAAAGAATGTTCACTGGTACAGTCGTACACCAACATTATACCATCGGCTTTACGGAAGTAAGACTGGGTTATACTGCGGAATCTAGAAGACAGTGGTTACACATATTAACTGTGATAAGCATACACTGCTGTGTACTATGTTATATTGTATATGTTAAGTTGAGATTGTTATATACTAAATTATGTTAAGATTATATTGATATATACTAAACTATATTAAGTTGACATCATTATATACTAAATTATGTTAAATTTATATTATTATGTACTAAATTACGTTAAGTTGATATTGTTATATACTAAACTATGTTAAGTTGATATTGTTATGTAATAAATTATGTTAAGATTATATTGATATATACTAAACTATATTAAAATTATATTGATATATACTAAACTATATTAAGATTATATTGATATATACTAAACTATGTTAAGATTATATTGATATATACTAAACTATATTAAGATTATATTGATTATATACTAAACTATGTTAAGATTATATTGATATATACTAAACTATATTAAGATTATATTGATATATACTAAACTATGTTAAGATTATATTGATATATACTAAACTATGTTAAGATTATATTGATATATACTAAACTATGTTAAGTTGACATCATTATATACTAAATTATGTTAAGTTTATATTATTATGTGCTAAATTACGTTAAGTTGATATTGTTATGTACTAAACTATGTTAAGTTGATATTGTTATGTTCTAAAACTATGTTAAGCTTACGTTGCTAAATACCACCCTATAAGGCTGTTAAATAAATAGTAACCTGTTTTTCCTATTCATTGGTATTGAAAACAATTGTAGCACTTTATATCTTAATGATAAATATTAAAACATTTCTACAGATTCATCAACTAGGCTATTTCATTTCAAACTTTTTTTAACAATTTACCTAAAACTTCCCGTTTACGACATGTGTTTGTATGTAGCCTTCTCTCACACAGCACGAGCAACTAAAACGAAAGTTTCCTATCGTTAGACAAAATCTCTGAACTGTTGTAATTCCAGACGGCCTCAATTAAAACCAGTACCGCAGCTCAAGAAATTTCAGGATGCCCTTTTAGTTAAAAATTAAGAATATTTGTAACAAGAAACGTTATATTTAAAGTCATTAAGGATAGACTTGACAATTCAAAGATCGTAAATCAAAATATGTTTCCTTGTTACCTTTCCTGTCCTGCTGTATCCCATAGTTGAACCGCAATATTCCGATTATCAACTCTCAGGGATTTCATTTGAAAGTCCACACCTATAGTACAATTATTATCTTCAAATTTATTTACAAAGTCATATTAAACTCTTTGTTTAATTTATGTTTACAATACATAAATATAATAATTTAAAAATCACACTTAGAATAAAAAAATACTGCTTACCCCTCCAGTCCACCCCGAAGAAGAAAGGTTCACCTTTCAAAAGCACGCGAGTTTAAGGATTTTTCTTTCTATCTCTTTTTATTGTTATAGCTATAATTTACTTAAATCAGAATTCTTTGAGGGATTTTCTTTGAATTAGTTATAGTTAAATAAAAGGTTTATAAAATGGAAGATTCAAAAAAGAATGGTATTGCGTAACAAATGGTGTACGTTTGCATTTCAGATTAAGGTGTTTTACCCATGATAAATTTATTAACACCATTAACCGTTTTTAAGAATATAACTTCTGCATTCTTATTGTTTTTTTAAAAGTGGCATTGTAGTCTTTAATATTTTGACGGTTGTATACAGTTAACAGTAAAATGTAAAATAGTCGTAAATAAAAACAAACGTCCCAGAGGTGAAAAAGAAACTATATTATGGTTGATCAAACAATATTAAGGTATCTTTCATAAACACGAAAAGAAACGGTTTCAGTCTTGTTACGGATTAAAATGATTCCTTTCGAAAGTACATCTTTATTCTATATTCAATTGAATATCTTCTTAGTTTCGCTTAATATTGTCTACCATTTCCACTGTATGAATCCAAAGCTCGATAAAGTAAAACAGCTACTATTTTATATTTCATATTTGTCCTTGTTTCAATGTTAATAAAAAAATACGAAGAGAAACGCTAAAATGTACTAAAGACTAAGACAAAGAAACAAACCCAAGGTTGATGTGATGTTCCCAACAAACAATCCTTTGCTGATCCTGATTATCATAGACGACTTTCCTACTGCTGCATCTCCAATAAAAACCACTTTGTACGTTCTGTCTGGGGGTCCAGTGGGTTCAAAACTGTCACTATCACCTGTAACTTGCTCTCTCACCTCTTTCAGTGTCTTGATTTGGGATTGACCATCTCCACCTGCAATGGCAGCTTGTTCATCACGATTTGCAAGCTTCCTATTAATGTCAGAACAAGTTTGAGGACCAGGAGAAGGAATTTTATTGGGTCGAACTGGGCTCCATTTGAATGAAAATTGAGGTGTTGGAACACGTTTATCGGCTATTGAAGATACGGGTGACGATGTACTAGATACATGAGGTCGAAAGTTGCTGAAAAAATAATACTTATCTATTTAAAACAACTTGATCACTAATTCCGTTGAACTCCGCAACATAAATATTTCATTTTTATGTAATCCGCTGAACAAAGAGAAACAATTTTAACGTTCGTCCAGTAAAACATTATTAGCAAACAAATGTTAACGTTCGTCCCAGTAAAACATTATTAGCAAACAAATGTTAACGTTCGTCCAGTAAAACATTATTAGCAAACAAATGTTAACGTTTGTCCAGTAAACATTATTAGCAAACAAATGTTAACGTTCGTCCAGAAAACATTATTAGCAAACAAATGTTAAATGATAAAAAATATCATATCCTCTTAAGTTAAATCTTTACCTAGATATTGATTTGTTCTGATATAAAAACTAAGTAGAATTTTTATCAATAACCATAATAAGACAGTAGACTAACACCACGATAAACTTTAATAAGCAATGAAAAATCAAATACCTTTTTTTCTTTGTTCAAGCTATAATGATATTAATGACGAAAACCAACTTATTTAAATATATATCAGCCGCTTTAACTAAGCATTATAGAGCTTTGTACATAAACATCAACTTCCCTCTTAAAACTACGACTATCCGTTTGCCTAAACTATGGTTTAAATGTGTGTTTCTCAACCATTGTTTCCACGAATCGGCGTTGGTTCGTCACAACTACCATGACGGTCTATGGGATTCTATGAAATCAAACAAAGAAACATAACTGACAGAATAGTTGTACATAAATCGTAGTGGTTTTTTGTTGTACTTGAATTTGAAAGGTCTGCGATAGTTTTAGAAGGCAGCGAGCCTGTCCCTGGTATCGAAAATGTTTAGGAACGCTTATTTAGAAATGAGAGGACCTTTTTCAACTTATGTTTACAATACCCGTGGTTGGCAGAGCACAGACAGCCTTCTGTGTAGCTTTGTGCTTAACTTCAAACAAACACGTCTATATAACATTCCATTATTTCAACACGAAAATCCTAGTTTCCAATTTGAATTTTAAACTATGACAAGCCAAGAAAATCAAGACGGATAATATTTTAATATTTCCGGAAAACAACGATTGTATTCTCTCACACATACATACATATATATAAAAAAATGAAGTACACGTCAACTGATATAACGAACCACTTCTGTTAACCTAACTGGAAACATGTACTTATACCAAATGTTTCAAATTGAGTAAGCATTTAAAAGTATTTTTCTTGTATATTATGAACTTGTCCTAGACTCATGACCTAAAAGTCACAGGTTGAAATCTGTATAGCTATCATGTGTTTATATATATATACATATATATATGTGTGTGTGTTTAAAACCAGTTGCATTTCTGGTATCACAGCCGAACTCAGTATGCCGTGACTCCAATGTAATGAAGAGTAGATTAACCCTCACCTGGCAGGCTCAGAATCCACATTCAATAACTGATTCAAAGTCTGATTAAATGGTGTCCCACCTTCTGATTGGGCGTCTGTATTACTGTACTCTCGTGGTAGTTTGTGTTCCAAAATGTCACTCTAAAATACATTCATAAATTGGAATTATATTAAGAATATTTGATTATAAGGATATCTTAATTACAATAACGTATATGTAAATATCGTATCATTGTGTAATAATGCAAGTTTTATTCTGACTTAAATACGTATATTACGATTTTAAACAATATCAATACAACACTCATTTTAACGCCGGGAACAAATGTTAAACAAATATCGAGAAAGCTATATGAAGATCCCACCTAACCAGGGAGTGTTTAAAAAGTTTAATACAAAACAAATATTAAGACTTTTATCTAGGTTAAACAGGACGGAAATTAAACACACGAATAAGAAAACACCAAATCCTCCCCCCTCTACACACACACACACACACATAAGTACACAACCATATCCGTACAATTCTATTTCCAAATGGTACTGTTGCTGCTATAACAACATATGTTTAATAATGTCCACTGTTCACTTACTTCTGCTTTTCTAGCAAAGACTGAAACAGTCTGCGAGTCTGAGTGGATTTGAGGTTTGAAATAAGATTTTAGCTGCTGAAAGCTACTCTTCTGACTACTAGACTGTGTATGGATGGAAGAAGTCGAATCTTTCCTTGTAGTTGACCAAATTTTTCTCTCAAGACTCTCATTTTCCTCATCCACGTTTTCCTCACTGGCAACTTCGGACTCGAATGGATCTTGGATCGTGGAAAATCCACTGTCTGAAGAAGTAGAATTTATGACTAATTATTTTATTTTTCTGTTTTATATAAAATGCTTCACCAACAATGCGTTCTTTAGACATGTTATGTTTCGTGATGTTTGAAAAAAATTAAAAAGTGTAGGATTAAACAGACATCTAATAAACGAAAAATCACGAAAGAGTTAAAAAATATTACACTATCATCCTAGAATATCAATATATGTTATACATATATATATACGTGTCTATAATAATTGCATAGATATATGCAAAAAAAGACACAAATTCCACGTTGATAAAGAAATTTTCATGTAAAACATAACACAATGATGTTAAGTTGATCGATATTTATATTTTTTAAACGTTTTCAATGAGTCAGCGGTAAACTTAAGACTCATAACACCAAAATCTTGAGTTCGATTCCTCTGAAGTAGACAGGTTTGGTTTCTTTGGAATTTAGTGCAAAGCTACACGAGGGATATCTGCGCTAGCTGTCCCTGATTTAGCAGTGATAAACTAGAGGGAAGGCAGCTAGTCAACACCAACCACCGCCAACGCTTGAGCTACTCTTTTACCAACGAATAGTGGGATTGACCGTCACATAATAACGCCCCCAAGGATGAAAGGATGAGCATGTTCGATGTGACGGGTATACGACTGAAGTAGACAGATTGTGTTGTGTAGTTTTGCGCTAAGGCAACAATAACTGTTAGTTAAAATACTTTTATAAAACTTTAAACTACCTCTTCATTTAAAACTTTTCAAACCTGTACAAATGAGTTAAAATTTGGAAAAATCGAAATATTTTTAAATTATTTTACACTTTTAAAAATATTATGGCAGCAATAATCAAATTGCTTCATTTATTTGGTAGGAAAAACTAGGCTAATAATTAAAAATGTCTAATAGAGCAGTAATACTAATAATAAAAATATTCCTTAAAGGCAAAGATACTACAAAACATATTTTAAATGTTTACAAAGAATTTACATTGTTAATGTTAGGAATAATAATCACATTTGTAACAGTCTATTGGGTAATAGTTACCAAAGACTCTACGATGTAGCCCCCACTCCAAACAAAGTAGAGTAATAACTGCAAAATTAAAAGAAAAACAGACTCCTGGGATGCTTACCCATGTCATCTCCTAAACTGTCCATCTTATAATTATCATCCTTGTTCATACCGACAGACATTAGCGACATCTGTCGATATTTAGCGATATCAACAGAATACTCTTCTTCTGTTCCTCCGGAGGGCCTTAAGACAATATTTATTAAATGAAAGTCAACTACAACAACTAACGAACTTTTCATAAAATATTAATAATTATTCAATATAGGGACATTTAATAAGAACATATTTAGAAATTGTCTAAAATTCTAATTAAAACAACGAATTAAAACCACATGCTCTTTACGTTAAGAACATAATAGTATCTGAATACATTATTGTTTGTTTTATCAATATCACACTGTCAATTTCCAATAAACCTTATAAAACATCTGTACCGTTGTTTTGTTTTCATAAACCCCATGGGAGTCATTCCAGCCTGAAGATAGTCTCCAATAATCGATCCTCGTTTGCCCAAATCCCCATATGTAGTTTGCTAAATATATAATAAACGTATCTGAATTATATAGGATGCTAAAACCATTAATAACCGAACAGTTATAAAAATATAAGTATCAAATAAAGTTAAGAGTACAGAAATAATATCTCTGAGAAATGTAGCAAACCTATAGATAACCAATAAATAATGAAATGCTAACAACCTACATGTAAACAGTATAGAAAATGTGATAGCAACATACAGATAAACAATATATAACTATGTGGTTAATCTAGAAGATAGACATGCCTTTGGAGTCTTGCTTACACTAATTCCCCATTTAGAGAAGTTGAAATCATTATAATATATATATATATATATTACTTTGGATAATTAGCTTAACAAATTTGATATTTAAATATTGCTACTACTTTTAGATAGTCAATCTAGCAACATCTGGTATTTAGATGTTTTAACAAAATGCTAGAAAGGGAGCGAAAATTGTCAAAGAAGCCATGCTTTTAGATACATTCGATACCTGCCTACCATTCCTATTGATTTCACTCAACAGTGCATGTTTAAACCCTTTCTGCTAACAGTTCCAAGTAATTTGTTAAAACTACTAATATCTTATAGGATACTTAAGATCTGAATCATTTAGTGTGATGAAATGCTATCAAACAATGGATAAAACAGTAAATACATTGTTTGAGCTATTTATTCACAAGTTAGTACACAAGTTATATAGCGTTGAATATGTTATATTAAAATAATTTTGAATATATAAATCAGCAAGTCACACGACAACCATATCCGATATAACGTAGCAGTAGAAAGGAATGTATCAGATCTACATTTTGTCACTACTTCTGGTGTTGCGTAGGTTGTGTGACGCCACCGAAATGGATCGCTTTTGGGAGGGGTACGTAACAACCCTTTTAGATGCACGATACTCATACACTCAAATAGTAAAGATGTGTTCAGATCGGGAAATCAGAATTTCGAAGACGGAGATGCCTTAATAACGTTAGAGAAACAAAGGAATATGGATGTCCTTTGGGTACCAGGACAAATCAGAAAGAGACCTGCAACAAGTCGTAATACAGCCGTGGTAAACAAAGCGTGGCATCTTGTAACAGGTAAGAATCCATGAACACAAATGTTAGTGCTTCAAGTAATACTATGTAACATAATCAAGAAAGATTTCCGTCTGGAAACTAGGCCAACAGGGTATGGCCTCATCAAGATAAGGCGTCATATTATAGTTCTCGTTCAACCGTTGTACACTTCAGGCAGTTGGGGAATGAAACGGGTATTCGTGTTTTTCCTTAATTCAGGACACATACCTTGGAGAGTGTAACGTGCATTCATGCTATTTCTTACGAACACATACCATGTCAAGTTGATGTACGCAGCGCATATGGATTTCTGTGCGATTGAACTGCTGAAACAAGCGCTAGGAAATCCTCATTTTTGCACACTAGATAACTTATGAAAAGCATGGAGGGAGAAGTGGTTTTCTTTGAACATGACAGCCTTGCAAAGGAGTTTTATTGCAGTGAAAACTGCTCTTCAGAGCTAATACCAAGTCGCACGGTGGTCAGATGGCGTGGTGATATGGACAGTAACGACGAGTTTAGTCTTCAAAATAGTTTTAATATAACACCCTCAATCCTCTGTACAACCATAATTCCAACGGAACTGTTATCATATTCTCTTTCATTATTTATCAAAGACCTAATTTTTATATCTTACTTTGTCATAAGGCATAACTCCTATATCTAATAACTCCCTTAGGACGTCGTTTGTGTCCTGAAGTCGTTTGTTCGCATCGCTGTGAAAATAAAATACAAAAGGCATACGTACAAAAAACAAGTTCGTTTTGTACCAAGAATAAGTTATCTAAGAAATGTGTATGCGAAGGATTTGACATAGATTTCAAAATCTACTGATCTTAGAGCAATCGGAGACTAAAACTATCGTATAAGATATGTACATAACGATGTGGCATCATTTGCTATAAACCTTTAACATTTGAGTTAGGTACAAGTAATTTTCGGTACTTTATGAAAAAATAAGAAACATGAATAGTTATAATAATGCTGAGAAATACATCAAGTAACTGCTTCTCGTCGCTGTCAATCAGCGTAGTTTACATGATATCACACTCAGTCAAGGTATCCTATAATATACCACACTCAATCATATATTTTACATGATATCACACTCAGTCAATGTATCCTACAATGTACCACACTCAATCATATATTTTACATGATCTCACACTCAGTCAATGTATCCTACAATATACCACACTCAATCATATATTTTACATGATATCACACTCAGTCAATGTATCCTACAATGTACAACACTCAATCATATAGTTTACATGATATCACACTCAGTCAATGTATCCTACAATATACCACACTCAATTATATATTTTACATGATATCACCCTCAGTCAATGTATCGTACAATGTACAACACTCAATCATATATTTTTCAATATATCGCATTCAGCCAACGTATCCTAAAATATACCGCATTTAATCATATATTTTACAAACTATCACACTCAGTCAATGTATCCTACAATATACAACACTCAATCATATATTTTACATGATATCACACTCGGTCAAGGTATCCTATAATATACCACACTCAGTCATATATTTTACATGATATCACACTCAGTCAATGTATCCTACAATGTACAACACTCAATCATATATTTTACATGATATCACACTCAGTCAATGTTTCCTACAATCAGTCAATGT